CACTGTTTCATGTGCATAACTGTGCAGTAAACCAAATGCAGCAAAGAGGACTGCACAAAACACCCTGTGTCCTTTTTGTGCTGGCAACCAACTGTAAACACACTTAACCCGTGCATGTTTGTGTTCCACATTGAAAGCACATACAAAACAGTGACTGTTGGCATTTGTGCATACATGTGTTTCTGCTTTTGTTTTCCACTGTATTTACAGGTCACGCTCGACAGCACTTTCCCTGAACTTCCACTCCTTAATTCAACCCATTTTACAAACACACACAAAAGTAGCACAAGTCTTTTTCGAGGAGGGACAGAAAGTATTCCACATATGAGAAGGGGTCCGTGCTTGGTATCTTCGCACAAGCTGGTTTCAGCAAGTGGGAGCAAATACTGCTTAAAACCATTTTCCCACTGAAGGACATACCACCAAACTTCTCCATTCCTGCAGACAGTGCTAGTGTACGTGTTTGGCTTTGCCTGGCAAATCATTTGGCTAGTGTACAGTTTTGTATCGTCCCTACAGCACTTTAGAGAGTGCAATGGCAAGTGCATGAAAGCAAACACCGGTCTTCTGTGCTAGCCACCGGGCCTTTAGACACAGTACACCAAAACTGCAGCATTTTGGAATGGGGACAAGTTTGCTTTTGCATTGCCACCAAAACAAAAGGAAGAAGTAGACAGAAGACAGCTACTCAGCACCGTCAGGCACTTACTTCCATCTAGCTTTAGTTTCTCTTTGAACTCTTCCTCCATCGACTTCTTGTCAAACTGAGCAGCCGTGAAGTCAAAGTCACTGCCAACTTTCTCCTTGGTAACGGGCGAGCGGGGGCCACGACCTCGACCTCGTCTGCCCTGATATCCTGCAGAAGCGAAACATCCCACATTTTCACGACCAGTTTCAAGTATACAGTTGAGCTTAAAAGAAAGCCAAAAAACCAATATGAAGGTGAAAATGAATCTTCTCATATTTTTTTAATTGTGCAGATCTGGTGCTGAGTTTTGTGCGTCGAGTCAGCACACAAGAGTCCACGCAGCAGTAACAAAGGAATGTTCATGTCATGAGACTCTTCCGCAGATTCTGCATTCTACTCTATGCTAAAATACTCAAACAAGCTGTCTTAAACATGCTTTTCTAAACACGTGACCCACATATAATAAAAATCTAGAAAATAATGCATTGTTCATGTTGTAGAGCCCATGTAAAAAGTCGTCAATTTGAGTTTTGATTCTAGAAATTTCCTCTTCAACCCCGTGGGAGAGGGTGTACTGTCCCGAACAGATTGCATTGCTTGGCGGTGCAACCTCTTTTTTTCTTTTTTACATTTTCCGGCTCATGCCTGCTGCTGACTGTACAGAGCAACACAGAATCTTTACGCCTACTACGCTATGCTGTGGTTAAGGTTAAGGAGGTAATGTTATCTACCCTGCCAGTTTTGTCTGGAACCCTGCTGTGAGCCACGGCCACCCTTGTCCCGGTCACCTCTGTCCCCTCTCTCCTGCCGCTCCCCTCTCTCTCTGCTGTCCTTTTCGGCCTTGCTGGCCTCCGCCTTCTTGTCCCGGCTCTCCTGTCTCTGAATGTCTTTGCGCTGGGCTGTCTTCTCCTCCCGGGAGCCTCGGCGGCGGGCTTGCTGCTGCTGGGGTGTCCGCTGGGGGAGACCCTGCTCCTCTTTGCCAGACTTCTGGGGCTGGGGCTTGTCGGTGGCAATCTTGGCTGAGGATTGGGTCCCTTTCTGGGGGCTGATGGGCCCAGAGGCCTGCACACCTTGCTCCATTGTTGGGGAGCGGCGTGTCATGGCTGGTGGTGTTACACGACCTGAAGAATCACAATTATAACAAAAAGAAAAGAAAACAATGCCAATGAAAGGAAGATTTACATCACTTTACCTATCAAAAGATTATCCTGACTCCTTGGAGTGTGTTACTGACCTCCACTGTAGTTATATTTTGAATACAGTGGAATGCTGCTATCACTGGGTCCACACAAGATGTTCGGTATAGCGATTGTTTGGTATAGCAGGGCTGCACACACCTATTCTGAGTTCTGATCTACATTCAATGTGTGCCGATGCCGTCAAATGCTGGGTATGTTTGGGTCAACACACGCCAAAAAAATTAAAAATAAATGCCGAAAATGGTCATTTTGTCGAATGTATGATCCCCTCCTTTTGCAAAATGAAATCAAGTTTCCTTGTGCCATCATTTAAATTAATCATGTGTGACACGTAGCACCATTACACCAGGCCTTGATATGAAGGACGGCCATGATGGTCAGGCTGTCGTTGCCCTTCCCACTGGCTAAGGTGCCCCACAAAAAATCTTCGTCATCACGGCCAGTTTTGCCTTGCCCTATATTTACCTTGGCTGTCGTGCCCTTTTTACATAAACATCCATAAACCTTTTAAAAACACAAAAATCCTAAGTTTCAGATGTTTGCAAACCCGCTGAAAGTGTATTTCGATGTCATGCTACCCCAATTGGCTGTCTTAAAATCTTGCAGAATTGATGCAGAGACAGTGACAGACGTTGCATACTAATTCAGAAGATGCGCCACCTTACCTAATCCTGGCGGGGGGTGACTTGTCTGCCCCCCAAACTGTCCTGTCATGATTCCACCTCCCACGTGGCCAAACTGATTGTAGGGCATGGCACCATAGGAGCCAAACTGTCCCTGGGTGTTGCCGAATGGAGGGCCTTGTTGGAACCCTGAGGTAGTGCTACGGACGGCGCCCGAATGCTGGGGAGACAAAGACGGCACAACTGTGGTAACATTGAGCTTCTCCAATGGGGCCATTGCATACATTCTCACTAAAACCTAGACTTACAGGGCACCGTCTGTGTGATAAGTTTTCTTAGAAACATGTTTCGTACTCTTTCTCAATGTATGAAAACTCCAACTTCTTTTGTGGTTGAGAGAATTGAAAAAACTTTTTAACAATTTGTTCAAATTGTTCAAACTTTTCTGGACACCTGCGGTGCTACTGTTGCCATGCCAATCACTGTTAAGTTTACATGTTTTTCTGTTCACATCAAGAGCTCATGATGTGGTTAGTGAAAAAAATATCTGAGAATGATGCGTTCGTCGGCATATACGCTTAACAAATAAGAAAAGGAATATAAGACAGCCAAACATTAGAACAATTCAGGAGTTTTTTTGTTCACAAATGAACTCAATAACATGGTTTTCTCCCTTGGATGTTATTGGATTTTTGCTCATCACTGCTGTGAAAATCCATAATGTACACACATAAAAAAAAATCAAAAAGGTGCCAAAATAAAATAAACTAGAAAAGCAGATATTAGAAATAAGGTTAATGGAAACACAAAGGAACATTTTCAAGGCTTGTGGTGAAAAAACTATTGCACAGACCTTTACCAAGATTCAAATGGGATACTATTCAACCAACACCCCTTAAAAGGATGGCAATCAAATACAAACCTAAAAAAAGCACCTGTGTGTTTCAGTTAACTTCACTTTCAACTTTTGTTTCACTCCTTCAAGGGTATTTTACTTCCTTTTTACTTTTTATGCCAATGAGATTTCCATATTCATGAGCGAAACTGTGATCTCATCCTGGAAAGAGAGCCTAAATGTTACATTGGTTTGTACACAAAAAATGTCCTGCATGTTAGTAGATTTTGTTGGACTTTCAATAAGTAAACACCAATCCCTTTCTCAGAAATGTTTTCTATAAGTAAATTCTGTGTTTAAAATTTAAAAAAAAAAGCCTATGCAATGAACTTTGCCTTCCCTGGAGGACATCACAGAAACAGCACCCTCATGTGTCCAGGAAAGCTTGGATAATTTTAAGTGCTTAAAAAGCGCACTTTTCAGTACATTTAACTCAATAGTAATGTGAAAGAGTTTTATACATTGCAGAAAAGTACAAGTTACAGAAAAATTGTCCTGGAAAAATTCATTGTGGCTACACTTTAAACTTCCCTTCAGCACCAAAGTCAAATTTTGTGAAGCACTCTGGGGCTAAACATGTCTTTACATGAATGTATAACATAAGCTTGTAAATAGTAGTTGTTACAAATAGTAAGTTCAGTGAATTTGATATGGTGGGGGGAGGGTGTTAAACCTTGTTTTGTCCCATTTAACCATGGTGTAATTTTGTAAAATTGATATTCCATTACATCATATTCCACCCTGGCATCTCTAAGACTCTAAGAGAGGTGCTAAGTTGAAAGCCAAAGAGCTTCAACTTACTACCTGTAGAACAGCAGGATCCTGGGCAATGTTGCTGCCAGCCGATTCAGCAGCTTCTTTTGGTAGTCCACAGACGTGGAGGTCTTTGATATCCCCCGCCTTGAATATGATGAGGCTGTACACTTCATTGCCAGGGGGAACATGCCGAGTTGTTTCTCGATTCTCTGTGCCAAAAGATCTCACTGAGAAGAGGAAATAAATGGCACAGAATCAAAAGCGTGCTTGGCATTCAGGTGATGCCTCTCAGAATGACCGGGCTACATCCCAAAACATAAACGTACTAATGGCGTGTCTACATGATACGACATGCTCGCTGGTCTAAAATGGTTGTTCAACTCGTATACATTTAACAATGTGTTGCTGTACTCTTGTTTAAATTACCATCTCCTCCACTTCACCCTTTGTAAATACATGTACTACCATAATTGTGGTATTTTTTGGGGTGGCGGATTTATGACTGTGCACACGTGCATTGTACCTTTGACAATTTATAAAATATTAGTTTCAATGGAAAGAGATCCACACGGAAGGGGAAAACATTGAAATTGTTGCTGTTTACCATTACTGCAATTTAAAATGTCTGCGCTTACAGAAGAATGGCTAGAAGTGCTTTCTAGTTTGAAACTCCCACACTTATTGGTGGATTTTCTGTAAACGTTTCACACATTGTGCATATCGTACATATGTTACCTCTAACCCTCCTCAATCCTCCAAAATCCTCCCGGCGGTTTTGGAGGATTTTGGGTGAATGGCAATAAGTGCAAAGCTGATTGCAAAGGATGCCATGAGTGAAGGTCGTGGGTTAGACCTTGTGTTGTTCTTGCTCAGTCATGCATGACTTCAGCCCAATATTTCTCTTGACTCAACCGCACTGCTCAAGAATGCCGTTGGCACTACCTCAACATAACGAGAGGAATTCCCGGGGGATTTTGAAGGATTGAAGCAGTAGGCACACCTCCAAATAACATTTTCCAAGAAGGTTTGCGGGTACACCATGTAAAAGAATTCTCTTTTGGGAAGAGGTGTGGTTCTGAGAAGAACCGGTGAGTGTTCTTCTCAGAACCACACCTCTTCCCAAAAGAGAATTCTTTTACATGGTGTACCCGCAAACCTGCATCCTATGTACTTCCGCCATGCAAAGCTTCAAATCTTACTTATTTTCCAAGAACTTTTGAAGGATATTGGAGGATTGAGGCTGGTTCCTAGTAAAAAGGCCTAGGGGTTACTGTCGAACACTGCCAACTATTTTCAGAAGCAGATTCAAATGATTCAGAACTAGTAAAACTCTTAGGCCCAGCCATTTATGCAATTCCAGTCTCATTTTAGAGTTGTCAATCATGATTGACAATTTATTAACCCCAACAATCCTCAGTCCTTAAAAATCCTCTGGGCGGTTTTGTAGGATTTTGGAGGACTGAGGCTGCACAACAAAATTGCATTGCAATTGCGAAGGATGCACTGTCTCAACATTGTGGGTTAGACCTCGTGTTACGTTCAACCTTGCATAAATTCATGCCTACATGTACATGTGAAATCCTCCATACTGCAGCTGCAGGATGGCCGATGGAGGATTTTGAAAGATTGAGGATGTATCCTAGCCAAAAGGGCCTAGGTGGTTAGGGTTAAGAATGTAGAGATGAGCTGGTGAATTTCTTAATTCACTTAATGCCACTGGATTTGTGCTTATGACAAGGATTGGGTCAATTTAGAAAAAAAAATTCAGATGGAAAAGGTTCTCGCAACGTCAGACTAAAAGCTTACATGCACAAAATAAATGTTGTACCTGCACAAAAAAGTGGACTCACATGTCATACGCATCATGCTCACAGCCCAGCCGAACTAGTAACACGTTTAATTGTCTCACAATAGGTGTATTCCTACTAATTTTTAAAACAAAGGCCTATTTCCTGGCTGCGGCACAGTTTTAATTAAGGAGATTTCACATACATGTATGGTAACTTTCACCCAGCCACAATATCGCAAGGTTTACCCTCCCGTTCTGCTACATGTAGCCATGCACAGCGTGCAATGATTGCCTTGTGGGGTGATTCCAATTACTCAATAGCGACAAACCTAGTCTTTCTTCCGGTCATTTTCATTTTCCTAAAATTGCATGTGGTCCAGAATAATGTTGACAGACCTCCGACAGCCAAACCAGTGAATTTTGGCTCATTTTCACATCTTTTAAATCTTGAGATTGACAGCTCTTCCATGTTACCGCCCTCCAAGCTTCGTGCTTGCACTGCCCATTTGTTTAGAGCATGTAATTGCCTGTGAGTTTTCAACAAGATGTGTCGAAGACGTGCGCATACGAAGGGTCTTGCATACCATGGGTGTCGCGCTGTAGCTTAACTTAACTTCATTGATTTCGTTTTATACTGACTCACATACACAACAGGGGGTGGCTGTGCTTTTGATGGTAACCAGCACAGGATGGAAAGTGAATGTGTGCACTTTACCTCGTTTTAAACTTTGTTTCTTGATGAAGATTGTTCATCTTCATAGTTCACAACATGATTAACTGTTTTGGGGTACACATTTAGGAACGTTCAATGTTAATTTCTTCTGGGCAAAAGGGATAAAATTGTAGAGTGGAAACAGATTCAAGCTCAGTTCACTTAACCAGGAAAATAGAATTCGGCCAACCAGGCTAGAATAAAAAAAATTATTTAAATGTCAGTCTTTTGTTAGTATTTACTGTGCAAAGGCTCCAGAAGCTTGCTTCGTGATCTTTCACTTTCAGGCTCTGCTGGCCTTAATTCGGGTAACTGATCTGGGTACTATGATTAAAACTTCAGCAATGGAAACCACTAAAATCTTTTTTCAAGCTCCATATTTTTGTTAGCAAATATCGACTGAGTACATAGAGGTCACTTATCAGTATTCTAGACAATTTAATCTACTTCTCTTTTGTATTTAGTCTATGCAATTAAACTTTATGCTCTGTTGACATTTTCAAAAATACTTACTGGAAAAGCGATTTTTTGCACACACATGCACACAGGCCTAGGCCTAACTGCAAAGAGAAAAAAGGCTTATGTGACGAATAATAAGCCTATCAACGGTAACGATTAGTTTCTAATTCAAAAGATTCAAGAAAGTTGAATGCAGGAATATTTGTGTAGGCCTACATGTATTCACACGATCAGACACCCAGGAACTTCTGTACATTATTGAATAGCACGAAAGGTAAATTTGCCCCTTTGCCGTGTGTTATAAGTCCATGAGGACGTCACGCCTACCACAAAAATGGTGCGAATAGGGTACTCCATGCCTAACTACTGGGTGACAATCAATTTCACTGCATGGAACGTACATGTGGAACCAGGCACTCAGGGTAGGCCTATTTGAAGTACATGTATTTCAGTGTATTTGGTATTGTTGAAATATTGTCAACATGCCCAACATCCCCAATGGGAAAGATGGATAAAGACTGAAAACCAAGACCAAGCTCTAAACAGTCTCATATAGAGCCACACAATGCTCTCAACATTTTCCCATGTATTACTGTTATAGCGAATGCATGTATGCCTATAGCATAGGCCTACAAACAAAACAGACATGACAGACTAGGCCTGGGCTTAATTCACTGCGTGCGTGTGAAAGTTTTGGGAACGATTATCCAATGTTAAACACTGCTCCTAACAGCAAAGAAAAAAATCACAAACACAGCCTTTCACACGTTATCAGTACCTCTTTTGAAGAGTCCAGTGACCGACAAAAAAGTGACTTTTTATTTCTAGAATAGGGCCGTACTCAAATCGCCTAAACAAAAAAATATTTCTCACCATTCGATAAGGTTATTGTGGATTCCTCTGGACTGATGCTATACAAACAGCCCTCATATCGAATTTTAGCTTGCGATATGAGACTGATTTTACTTCCTAAATACGGCCCACTCTCCGACATGATGATGCTTGAGTTTTAGATACTCGCAGGTGCAGATGATGCTGGATTTTCAACTGCAAAATCGTCAGCTCCAAAATGCGTTCAGCAGCATCGAAAATGGCGCAGTTAGCGCTTGGCATTGTGGGAGCTTGAGAAATAAAGAAGGTTTTATAAACCACGGCCTCCTTTTGACTGTGGCTCCGAAATCCAAACCACACATCTTAACGTTCAACAAGACACCAGACATGTGTTCTCTTGTCATATATTACATGAAACAGACAATAGACAATGTGGTGTCTAAGAAGGCCCTTAGGACTTTTCGTGTGGCCACACATTTTTTCCTAGGCACTGGGAACAATGCCTACCGCGCATATTGGATGATTGAATTCACTCCCACTATTTTTTTTCATGCCCACGTCCTTTCTCGGTTAAAGATAAAGCTTTCCATGCTCCTAATATTCTGAAACGCCAGCAAATACTGGATTATTTTCCACTTCAGCAGTGAGGTAAAATTGAAGTGCTTCTGTTTGATTTTAACAATGAAGTATGTAAAATGATTCCATAGAGAAAAATGATGCCAATAACGAAACGAAACCTGAGTTTCAGAATTGGCATTAGAAAAGGCGCACGATACTGGTACGCGAGCGCTGCAGCAAAATCCTGCAGTATTGCATTTCATGGAACCAACGACAAAATTAATTAATGTGAAGTGTGTGAAAAATCACCTCGGGGGCCGGTTTCGCAATAAAAATGGATCAAAACGAAGAAAATCTATCCGACATATAGAAACAAATTCCAAGAATTGAATACGCTTTCTTGTTTTTGTGAAGAAGGGTAATAAAGTTTGTCTGTTGCCACTGAACGCGGCAGTGTTTTGTGCGCAATGACAATTATTCCGTAAAGAAAAGGAGAAATCAAATATCTTCTGCAAAACTGCGGGACACAGAGAAGAAAACTACCAGAAAGAGCATGAGCAGACGAAATTGTTGATTGAACCTTTCTAATTTCTGTTTCCCCGGCGTCCGGGGGCAGCTTTTTGGAAGAAGAAATGGGGGAATTTCAGGCCCTCTTCCAGTTATTATGGGACAGAATAGTGAATAAGCCCCTCCGAGAGACACGGGTTTACATTCCTCTGATCTTTGGCTATAATCGTTACTGTTTTGACAACTTCCAAAGACAAAACTGCTCATTTTCTCCTCCCGTAAATAAAACACTAAAAAAGAACAGGGTGCCCCCTTTTGGGCTGTTGCTATGGGCACCGCCATCTTGTCTTTACAGGTTGCACTACACCAAATACGCGCACTTAGGAAACAGTGCAAAATCGGACCGAAATAGCGCCGCCTGTTGACCCTCGTGAAGAGATTAGCCTACATTAAGTTTTCACTGGAAATTCAAGATCATGGCCAGAAGATCACTTTTCGTTTCATTTTCATGAGGGTAAGCCACGAAAATCTGTTTTTATTCCGCCGTTCAAGGACAATACCCCCAAAACAGCCGTAAAACTAAGCGCTCATTTCTGAATGTAGCCGCCCACCTCTATCCAAAATATGCTCGCAATTTGAGGCTTTTTGTGATTTATATAAATATTTCTATGATCCCTCCTGATTATGGTCTGTCTATTGTAAAAATCCCGTGCGATCACAAAATATTAATAAGCTTGCGTGCAGAAATACAACAATTTGTTGGAATGCACCCTGAAATCACTGCAACTATAGCGCATTAAAACTTGGCTTCTAGGTCGCTGTCAAGTGTCAAATTCAGGTTTTGTGCTGTCAGAATGCCGAAAAGTACAGAAACGTTATGGAAAGTTCCATTTCCAGGTCTTTTTTCTGGTAACAGGAAAGCTGAGCTGACAAGAAGTTTTAGCTTTGTTTCTGCTATCTGAAATGCCGATTTGGTGGCAATTAAGGGCGTTAACGTTTGTTTTACATCTGGGGCAGCAGAAAATGAGATTTTAGTTTCCCTGTTCAACTATTCTCTTGCCGAAAAACCATTACAGAAGGGACCGAAAAGTAGCAATCTTGGCACTCCTTTTTTTCAATTAAAAAAGAGCCATTTTGCTTTTTTTGTTTCCGAAGAGTAAGAGGAATCGAGATTGGAACCTACTGTTTTCAGAAGGTAGAACCTGACGGAATATTCCATCTTTTTAGCCGAAAAACTGAAGTGATCTGATCTGTGTTTTGTTTGGTGCTCCTTAAAGTTTCTGTTACTCCTCTACCAAACAATTGCAATCTGCTTTATAGCCAAAAGGAAGAAAAATGTAGTCGAAACATTAAGCATCTCTGAAAGGAGGCCGGTTGAGAGTTATCTCGATTTGTTTGTGACAGAAAAGCAGACGTAAAAAACAAGCTGTGATTAATTTCGTTTGCGCCGCTGAACTAGCTGAGGTCGTAGCCTAAACACTGGCGTTGGTTGTGCTATCGATGTATGTTTCGTGGCAAGGGCGGAACCAGAACTAATTTTGTTTTTTTTGGGGGGGGGGTAAACATATTTGGACCTTTTGGGAGGGAAATTTTTCATGTAGCCATTTATGATCATTTTGAGGGGTGTGGCCACGTTAGGGCTTTTTACACGATTTTTGAAGCAAGGGAAATGAAAAGGGTCCCACATCGCCCTTCTCTCATTGTTTTTAAAAATAGTCTCCCTTTTTGGGAAGGGGATGGCACCTTTGGCCCCTCAGTATCCGCCTCTGACCAGGGGTTAGGGCGCATGAAGGATGTTTTTCTTTGATATTTACTTTCTTAGATATAACTGTCGGTTCCTTTTTGAAAAATGTGTGAAAAATATTTCATTTTGACTAGTTGGGCCTACGTATACGTTGACGAGGTTACATGCGCGCTTCCCTGTGGGAGCCAGCGGGGATTTGAAGCTCCTAAGGAGGCCTATATGTAACACAATGCAGGAGTTATACATAGGCATTTAGCTTTAATGTTTAAAATTGTCCACGCTTTTCCTGAAAAAAATGAGGGCGCTGTTGCTGTAGTACCATTCTAGGAAAATATGCGTCTGTTTGCTTATTTCATTTTCTTTGTATTTTTAGCAGCCAAAGCGATGACCGAGTATTAAGGTATTTCTCTCCAGAGATAATCATCAATAAAAACAATAGTGAATATCATCGCCATTTTGAAAATTGATGCGTTCCTTTGCAAAATATATGGAGCAATTTGGCTGACCTATTTTTAACCAGATGTTTTAGAAACACATGCTGGCAGTCCTACTGGTTGCTTCCATTCTTTATTTTTTTTAAGCAAACTGTCCAGTCCAGTGCTAAGCGCGAATTCATTATGTTCCAGGAAGCTTCCATAGATATTTACTCGGATTCAACCTCGTCTCCACAGCTTCGCTTGTTTGAGCATAGCACACGGCCACGCCAAATTCAGTGTTGCACCGTGGAAGCTACTCAAATGCATCTTAAGGGTTTATGAAGGAAAAAGAATTAGGAAACTGAAACTATCACTTTGGATCTGGAGAAAACTGTGTTTACTGGCCTACTCTCACAGACTGAAACAATAAATCACAAAAAGGAATTAAATTAAAAAGTAGAGATTACAAAATTCTGGTGGTGCTTATTTAAGTATAACTTTGAAGTTTCTTGGGATGGCATCCGAGTCATATATGTAGATTTGAATGCTCCAAAGTATCTTTATAAAAGAGGATAACAAATATACAAAACTAAAAATTGAAAGGTATATTGTCAATGACTTCATTTTATTGTATGCACCCTTAATCATGTTTAACTGTTCCAATTCAACTGCTGACCGATTTCAGGAGTGAGTAAAACCGATTTTTTAATCACCTCTATAGGCACCCAGATCGCAAACAGCCGCCGATCCAATTTCTTTCGGCAAACGACATCGACTCATGCCATGACTGGTTCTTCTGTGTCGAAGTAGGTCGACCTGAGCGAGGCTTATACATGAAATGAATAGGCCTATGTGCTTCGTCGAAACTAAAAAGGTGGAAAATGGGCACAATAATCGCTTGATGAGATATTGAATCAACACAAGTAAGAGTTGAATCAACACAAGTAAGAGTTTTATTTCAAACAATGTTATTATTGAATTTACTAGTGAAAATACAATCGTTACCTCCGAATATGGACCCTAAAACCATTATGACAATACATTCCCCGGAATATTCGGTATTATGGCTTATAATAGCACTGATATGGCGCCAACTGAAAATTCATTACCGGAAGAGTGAAGTCAGTTCTTACCGTATGAAAGGCGGGTTCGTTAATTAAAGGCCATTGGTTCTAACCGTCAAAACGCGACGCACACATTCACATGGAGTGCAATTTTTCCTCCAGAATGTTTTTTCGAGGCGTTCAAGACCAATATTGATCGAAGACTCACTTATACACGCAACCATCGGCTCATAGTACGAGCAAATACGTGCGGGACAAAAAGGGAATCCTTACACGCCACAAGCTTATTTTGAGACATGAAAAGTTAGACGAACAGTATTTGAGTCCCCTTTATGGGCCCGTCATCCACTGCCGGTCACAGGTTCTTCAGTGCGAAGGAGATCATTTTTGGCCCACTTCGGGAGGAAGGTTGAGTCCGTGCTGGACATTTTCATAAGACGCCGCGTGCTCTTTGATTAAAGTGCCATCGGCATGCATTGCTTAGAAACATTCTCACAACACTCTACATAGTCCGCTTAAAAAATCAGTGGACGTTCCTTGATCACAATGAAAAGTTTAACCTTTGAAAAACATGCTCGTCCTGCTAACTGGTGAGGGGCACTGTTACTGTGATGTCATCAAAGGGAAACAATGTTCAGTGCAGGGGCTTTGGTTAAATTGGGAACGCTTTCATGCTTACTGAAAGAGTTTGTGAGAACACTTTTCCCATCAGCCTTCTGTCGTGTACTGAATCAACAATGAAGAACCAATAAGAGGAATAAAAAAAAAACCTTTTTCGCAAAATTGCGAAAAAAAACAATAAAGCAACCAATCAAAAAATTTGAAAATCATTGTGCTGAAATTCTTCAAATTTCGTCCAGTAATGCCATGACGCTCTCTCGTGCTACTCGCTTTAGCATAAAACCCAACCAAACGCCCATAAAAATGGCGGAACAAAAAAGTGAATAGGTTCAATGGAATGAAGAGGTATATTAATCGAACGACTGATAAAAATTACTACGCGTAGCCCTTTAAATGAGTTCCATAAACGATTATGGGTAATTCCAGAAATTAGGGGTCCAAAAGTGTGACATCTTTGTGTGTCTGTTACATCTGACCTTTGTTATTTTACATGGAAATATCAGCGGAATTGATTTCAAACTATTGCTTTTTGTTTGGCAGGTAATTTGTATCAATTCATCACTCTTGGAAATTAGAAAATGTGTTCTGAACTTACAAAATCATAATGTAAGATGTAACAGGGACACGAAAAAAAATGGATTCTTGGATCGGAATTACCCTTATAACTGTCCGGTTCGTAAGTGCCTTCGTCGTAGACAAATACACGCACCTCTGATTATATTGCAAGCTTCCTTGGATGAGCACTGCATGCAGAGGTGCGCATTACTTTCCAGTTCCATGGTTCCACGTAACTCTGTGTGCAGTGGGCGTGGTTTGAACTGAAGTGATGCCACCCTTACGAACCGGATAAACAAAACGTTTTTGTCAAGGCAACGAAAAATCTTTGACGCGTGACTATATATAATATCATAAACGAATGATATTCCCAACTCTGAAAAGCATTACACAAAATAATTAATAATAATGGACCAAGTACACGGTGAAGTTGAAACTAATTGAAATTCAACAGATCACACACATGGTAATGTAAATGTTTTAGAAAAACATCTTTTTCTCTCTAGTAATGTATCATTATTGTAAAGAAAGGCACTCTCAGTTCCAATATAGTTTCTAAACTTTATTTCAAAACCCAGTTCTCAATTGACGGTGTTCTAGAGGGCCGATGTCGACCAGGAAATGTGGCGACGTGGGACGGGCCTGGTGTGTCATCCTCACCGCCGACTAAGGTGCTGGTCGGTCGGTCCTGGGCTCGTGCAACCCACAGCTCCTTTTCGAAATCTGAAAGACAGGTCTGCATCAATCCGTCATCGTGCAGTTGCATAGCCTCTTTAATAGATTCCAGAACTTTTACCATTCGCTCAAACTCGGACTAGAAAGAAACAACACGCAAAGAACAATTTTTATAGGCCTACTTGTGGAAGCTACAGCGTGCTCTTGAATGTTATAGACCAATCCGCTGACAAGAATCGGGAGCCATTACTGCGGTGTCCCTACGCTCTTATACCAGGCATGAAATGGGGCAGAGGGGTACCTCCCCCAACAAGTCCAATCCCTATACAAACTCTAGTCTACTGTCTAAAAACAATTCCCGGGATATCAGTGTCTCTGTCCCATAGTTTGCATCAAATGTACGCTCTATCTTGGACAGATGAGGGATGCGCGCATTAAATGCTTCCTCGGCAAATGGGGTTGCACTGCTAACCAAAATCACGCATGCGTCTGTCAAGTTTACAAATGCGCGCCTGCTACGTGACATAGGGACATTGCAGTTATGGCGTCAGCGAATCGGTGTACAGGTGTAGGTGCGAGGACAGCACTGGCTTTGAGTGTCAAGCAAGAGGCAGAAGACGAAAGAATCCAGCCTCAATAACTCTTTGCTGGAATCCCACAACTTAGGATATACTGCCTGCAAGCGTCCAATAAAAACCCTGTACTGACATTATCAGGATCAGTGGCAACGGGGGGGGGGGGGCTAAAGCTCATGGGGACTGTATATCTCACGGCTTACAGCAATCATGCAGGACAAAGAAGGAGAAAGCTTTCATGTAAAACCCGCAAAACAGGAAGTCTTTATCTTATTGTCAGAAAACTGAATGTCGTGTGTAGTAATCCGCTTTGAGCAGAAGCACCCCCTCATGGGTTGAAAACAGCCACGTTGGCCTTGGGAGTTAATTTTTCTGGTAGCGACGCGCCCGTAGCGCGTGCATCCCATAGTAGTTTGTGAATCAGCGAAGTGCAGTTCCGGCCAAAGAGCCGCCATCGCTAGGAAAATTGCGCCCTCTATTGGTCCAGCTCAGGGATCTTATGATACATCAACTGCATGACTTACTTTGACGTCAGGATTCGAATAGCAGAAGTCTATGGTCGGCGAAATGGAATCCAGCGTGGCCAACCCGGACGTTCCCGTGGGCCCTCTGGCTCCTTTGCCTCGCTTCCTGAGCTCCAGTGGCGTGCCGGTCTTCTGCTGTCGATTTTGCATGACGTGGTATATCTTGATAATAAACGAGGAGATAAAAAGGTATTTCACTTAAGACACTCACTGGAAATGACAATTCTTCTTAGCCTTGAGGGACACAGTACTTTGTTTTCAATATTCCTGTTATGAAATCTGTGAATGAAGTTACAATTGATGACAATGACGCTGTGTGGTCTTCACAATAGAACCACGGCATCTTCGCGAGATGGGACTACATGTACACCTTATCTGACCAAGAGGCCTGTAATCATAAAGCAATGCACACACTCACGACAGAAAATGGTTTGCAGTGCATTAGCTATGTTTGAAAGCCTGTCGCGACCATTACACACAAATATACAGGACCCATGAAGTACGTGCGTTGCGAACGTAGTATGACACCACCCATGGACCCAAGGCTATACTTTGCTGATGTGTATTTAGGGGCCAAACCTACTGTCAAGAGTAGCCTTTTCGTGACAGCACTAGACAGCATTGAAAACAAAACAAAAACTTTCATAAATTTAGGTATCAGAATACGATCCATGAAGACTTACCTTTGAGCCGTAGAGTAAAGTAACCATGATAGTTACAGTTAGTTGTACGCGGCAAACTCCGACAAATAAGTGTTTATCAGCCACGCTCTGCTCTACAGACTCCAGTACTCTGAGAAGAGATTCAAATCAGCTTGAAAAACCTTTGCACCTAATTCTGTTTCTTAGGCGATGAGCAAACATCGTACGAGCTTCTCGAGTGCCACGATGGATGCTGAAGTGCTTCATACACCATAATCAAAACCACACTAATTATAGTCCGTAGACATTGTCCCTACAAGATATTGCTTTAGGTTAAAGAGCACCTCTACACGAAACACGTTTTCTCTGATTTTATCTGTTCAAATAAATATGGAAGCATCGAAATCGAATGCAGTGCCATTGTCTTCAGAGCTCAACAATAACAAGCTGCTTTTTTCTGTACATGCCAAGATAAGAATTCTGAATGAAGATTGCGCCACTCGGAGAAAACAGAGAAAACAAGGGGAACCCTCGGCCTGTGTTCGTTGTGGATTACATGCCAACTAACGCATCTAGCCATTGTTTGGCATGCCCAAGGGTTTATCCACTACGAACACAGGCCGAGGGTTCCCCTCGTTTTCTCTGTTTTCTCGGAATGACGCAATCGACATTCAGAATTCGATTCGTATCTTGGCATGAACAGATAAAAAACCCTTATTAGCTTGTTATAGTTGAGCTATGAAGACAAATGACACTGCATTCGATTTGGGTGCTTCCATATTTATTTGAACTGATAAAATCAGAGAAAACGTGTTTTCCTTAAGAGGTGCTCTTAAAATGTATGCGTTGCTATAATGGTTTATTCCAACGGACCCCGAGTTTCACAAACAGAGAAAAGGCAATAAAGTAAAAGAGTCAGACGTGAAGTTCGATGCGCTTTTAGTATCGCCATAATGGAGCTCCAAGTTATAACTGCGATTGCAGTATTCGGCCTCTGTCGCCAACGAGTCCACAAAGCAAGTATAGAGGCACACTGCTCAAATCAAAGCTGACTGCAACCGACTCCCATTCGATCTTCTGGGGATGAAAAGTGGTTTAATATGTTCAGTCCATGCTTTATCATCGTTTCCTGGAGGTAATGCGGTGCCACGGTGGAATGATGGATAGACTCACCCATCAGAACAAACGGGTGAGTCTACAATGAAAATGGCCAGGCCAGGTCGATTTGCAGCGGCATTGTGGCTATGCACTGCACTTTCCCTATATGCCCCTTCCTCCATTTTGGGTGTACATGCTTTATGTTTGATGCCCATTGATAACTAATGCGTCATTATTTTGTCAACCTTCCGTTCCGCCCCAAATAGAACTAAAATTATGCTAAGAGTTTGTCTCTGAAGACAGGTTTGAGATCATTTGCTACTGAATAATGATGACCATCATTGTGACGAACAGAATGTCTGAAGTCAGAGGCAAATGCAAGTGCAGGCTAAGGTTGAAAATGTATCAACTGAGGATTTGCATTAACCTCTTTAAAGATAACGCCATGTCAAGTTTTAGAGACATCTACTTACACGGTGGTCAATATGATATTGAAGGCCGAGATGATTGTCTCATTGTATATGCAGATGCTGATGAATTTGCTTTCGTTAAACGCAGAGGGCGCCTTCCTGACTTTTATGCATAGGTAAACACCCCATGCCAGCAGAACTAGTGTAGCTGCAGGGGGGGGCGGTGAAAATAATGAGGAAAACATGAAAAATAAACACAATTGAAGGAATACTTACGTACCAAACAACAACGGCAACGGCAGGGGAAGTCGATTACAAATGCAATAATCGCATACCATTTAAAAAATTTATTATTCTCATTCCATTTAGCCAAAAACGGGTCCGACGCATGAATTCTGCACTTTAAGTCAGCAAGGTTGCCCATGGAGGAACCGTAACTGAGGTAGCCTACCTATACCACCATGGGGGGGGGGCAGTGTGCGGAATCAAAATCATGCTCATCATTTAGGCCAGTGCTCCAGGAATGTGCACATGTTTTACCCGTGTTCTTTCCTCTTTTACAAAACAAAATTATATCCCCCAAGCGAGCTCCTGTTAATTGCCATTGAAGCATCACGAGACCCCGATGCCTGATAGGATTGAATTGAACCCGTATGCTTAACAACCGTACCGCTCCTGGTACAGCTGTTCGAAAACGGTGGACAATAACAAAGAATATTAAATAAATGACCTCCTTCTCCTATGTAACTCCACAGTGTGACGGTGCACTGCCTGTACTTGAGGTTGTTGGAAGTGACCTGCGTCTCCTCAACGGACGGCTGGAGATACGTCCCGACTCCGAGGAATAGCGCCATCAGAATGATAAGTGCGCCGATGCGCAGGTACAGCTGGGCGTCAGTGATGCGAACCGGCTTGGCACTCCGGACGGTGAAGACCACAGTGATTCTGGGAACCCAAAACAAAGAGTGACGTGAAAAAACTGCATCAAACCTGGCCAGCGCCCTATTACCACTCATAATTTTATGACAGCCCCAATAATGGCGCGAGCACCGTGCAAGCCATTCATCCATTCAACCTCAGTCCCAAGGGCTTACTTTATAATGTTTACTAAATGAAACTCGGGAGACAATCCCAGTCAATGGCTTTACTTCAAAATTTTGGACGACTCGACCCAGTTACCACAACTGAATCGGCTCTACTTGTCTCCCTTTATGCTAGCAGGACTCAGTCAAAAGCTCGTAACAATGAAGCAGCAAAACTGTGTAAGCAGTGACTTACGGTTCCAAGTAACCTACTTCGTGTTATCTTTATAAACTTTTTGTTATAAAGTTAGGTATCATCAATTACCCTAGAAAGAAACTTAAACGCATGCAAAATGAAAGTTATTCTTGAGCCTGCAATATTGAAATTTCAAACAAAGTTAACCTCTTCCCTTTTTTTAACTTGAGGGCATGAGCGGAGGAATAAAATCAAATTTAATTTCCCTACAAGTTACTCTGATGAATAAATTGAAATTTGTGATGAAACTTACCTTAGCTAGATGTCTAAAACAATGGCAGGCTTGGACCCCCCAAATTATAAAATAGTCTGAAACTGTCCCATTCAAAAACTAACAATTTAGAGCATAGATACGAGGAGCAAGATTAAGAATGGCTAACTCAGAAATTCTTGGTTATTTTCGTGCCTGACGTTGGGGTATTTTGCCTTTAGGCCTTGGCAGAGCTACGGTTAGATATTTGTCCCGCGTAAAATTAATTAGATGCATTTCTGTATGACTAGAAATACTTTTGTACATTGTGTAATTTGACCTTTGCATTACCAACACTGTCAGATAAACAACTACTATCGGTAACAACAGTAATATTGCACAATGGCTTGCATTATGCTTCCGCTGTAAGAATCGTCAATAAAATACATTTATATCCCAAATTAAAGAACTTCATGTTGCGCATAGGCTATCTAACTCAAGTCATCCCTATGTATAATACAGTTTGCCTCCAAAAGGCAATCCAGCTGTACAAAGGTTTAAAGTTGTCATATCACTAAAACGAGATGTCTTGAGATGTCTCAAGTTAAAAACCAGCCGACAGGCTTGAAAATAAATCAGAGTACAGAGAAAGGCACCACAAAGATGAGTAAACAACACTTGAGTTCACACGAGCAAACCATGCCATATGGTCCGAGCTTTGATAACAATGTTCGTTTGTAGTCATTAGTACTTTTTGGTGTAGTCTGACCATTCAAAACATGCAAAGGTGAACCGTTATGCACTCCTTTAGGTTGAAAATTTACAGTTTCCCCATTTTCGTTTCGAACTAACACAAGATTTGGTGCGTGTGCTTCATGCAGAGAATTGACAGCTCTCGTAAATTTGCGTTCTCACGATATAAACACGTAAGTCTCGGACATATTCTTTTACACAAAACGAAAACTATGTTAATTTCCTAAGTAAGAACGATCATCTTAAGTTAAATGCTACTAAATTCCACAAGTACAAGAATTGGTAATTTGTGGCACACATTTTCAAGTATTTTCCCCTGGATCGTACATCCCAGAACATGCTTATGTGCTTGCTCGGGAAAACCAAAATCTATGGAAATCACACGTTAGTGTGCTGAGTGCGCCTGCAGTGCATACCCTGCTTTTAGGTTAGTTATTGAAACTTCAATTGTTCATTGCACGGCTTTCACGAAGGGTATCAAATAAGGACTTATGCTTAGTTCGTGGTGTCGCCGACGACATCGTATTTGCGTAAAAACCGTAACGCGGACGACAAGATGACTGCAAACCGTGAAGGGTATAGGCGCATCCCGCTGTTAAGATGTCGAACATTAGGCCTATTTGCGTTTATCATAAACAGCGCACTTTGCTGAGTTTGTTATCAAACAGCACACCGAAGATGTGAGTGGTAAAGCATACTGATAAATTCACCAGTTTGTTCTAGTAATGAGTTTTGGTTCCGATGGTCGGGAAAAGTTGACAGAACCAGTGCGTGTATAGACAACGGTAAATTTGACCAGCAAATTCCGTCAAGAAGGAAATCGTGACTGCTGTGTTTGCTTTCAGTGGTACCAAGCAATCCCCTGAAAGAGACGGACCAAAAAGCCCTAACGCTCCGGGAATTCAGCTTGTGTCTTCTCTCCCTCCTCTTTTAAACTCAGCCTAGATCTGTGGTCAATACCTCGGGTTTAGGAACCGAGAAGAAGCCTTATTACCCAGCAAAACTTTCCTTTTGATACCGAATTTCGGAGTCCACTGGTTCATACACGTCGTTCCTCGTCTGCAGTGTGGGGCGACTACGGAGGGGGAGGGGGGCACAGGGGTAATTGCCCCCCCCCAGCGGATGCCCGTCCCCCCAATTGAATCTGTAAATAATCTCAGTTGAGTTTATATAGCCATATGGCTGCAGCTTATTTTCTTGTGGTGCCCCATGGAAAAAAATGTGTGCACTCCCGGAGTAGCGCCACTGTTCGTCGTTACGATTATGTATTCCTGGGGAGGTGCGGTGTTGGCGTTTGCTCCGTTGTTCAAACACCACGCAATTATGATGGTGGAAACCAGACAGTCGGCTCAGCCTTTCTGTTTCCAACGGGAGACTTTTGAAACGCTTGGTGGAAGCAAACACACCAGTCCTTTTGACCAGTCCTGAGAATGCGCGCGTTGTTCTGAGCATGCGTGCATACAGTTCTGAGCACGCGCAGTACTGTGAAAGACAAGGTGGAAAAGGACCAATTTGACTGCTGCCACCAGCGTCTCAAAGTTTCTCCTTGAACTTATTAAGGGCTACATTGATTTTGTACTCTTACCTCCAGGTTTTGAAGAGTAAGGCTCCATAGGCTAACCCTACGCCAAGGTAGCGAGCCCACGGTTGTAAAAGACAGTGCCAAGATCCCATGTCCGTTCCTCTAAAAGCAGCGTGTAAAATATTCTGGGAAAACACATTATAATAGATTAACCATCCAATTGTGTAAAACGGTAAACTGCTATGATGGGAACCTTCAGTAAAGATCATAGTCGATGCCATATCTCTTCAGAAACAGTCTTTCCGCACAAAAACTGTTCAAAGGTGTGTTCATAATGGCTGTGATGAGTTTTCCTTGTAAACTTCATGTGAATTACACTGGCTGTGTCAACCGTGGGTGTCGCAAGAGTTAAACCGTGGGTGTCGCAAGAGTTAATACAGGGCACTCTGCGCTTACCCTTGGGTAAAAATACAGGAAAAAAGATAAATAATGTATTTGGGTAAAAATACCAAATACAAAAGTCGAAGAAAACAATGAAAGAATACGGGAGAAAAGAAAACGGAAAAGAAACTGTGAATTTCCATGACAACGGCTGGTCAGTCTTATAGTGGTGAGTGTTTGCCCATTGGAGAGGGCCGTGACCCCTTCCTGGCAATGTCCATGCTGCCTATGTTTGTTCCCTTCTGAAAATAGACAGAAGCGACCGTAAAGTCTCCTGCTCAGAAAGACGTACGTCTACTGAATTCATTGAATCAACCTGGACGTAAAAAAACAGGGACTTGTAACTTCAGTGATCCTCGTTTTGAAGCTCCATGGTCCCACATAAACTATTTCCTTTATATACCCTTAATTCCCTCGGATGATATTTACAAAGGTGATTGACGCAGCACATCATTAACATTTCTTTTAAATTAACCTAAACTCAAGTTCATTCTGTAAAGCAAGCACGTACCTTATAGTCACAAAGATCGGGGATTTTAATGTACTGCATTTCCTTATTTTTTTGTATCCATCAAGCTCCTTCTATAGGGGCTTTTAGAGGAGAGCCGAGAATCCTGAAACCTACCCCTATTGCTGTAGCGCTGCTGATAAAATTGCCTGTGCACATGTTGCATTTAATATCACAAATCTAATTAAGGTTTAGACAGAACTGGGGTTAAAACTGCTTTCGAGAAATGATTACATTAGGCCTACTACGTCTAAAATCTATCACCATTTTTCCTTCTCGCAACTGCTCCCTCTTCTGACCTTAGAAAGGCTATGATGCAAGGACTGCAGGTAACCTGGACCATGAAATTCCCAAATGGCTCAGCTGAGAATCGAGATGACAAGGCTATGTGCCGGGGGACATAATATACACAAATGACTTAAGGAAATTTGCGAGGCTTTTGGCCTTCTCTGCCCCCCCGCGCTTAGAATTCAGAAAAGGCAAAAAGGGAGTTTGTTTTGTTTGAATTTTTGGCCAAAAGAGAAAGAAAGCGGTGAGTACCCCTTTTCCAGTAAATGAGGCCTCAACTCAGACCTTCTTTTCTATTTTGTTGAGGTTTTATGCTAGTGCGAATCTGAATATTCAGGGCAAAATGAGATGTCATCCCGGGCACTGAACCTCAGTGCTTTGTAATTTGTACACAAAATAAACCACAATTTATTTTTAGTACTTGCAATTGTAACTTTTCATTTGTTTGGCAAATTATTATTGTGTATGTATATAGCAATAAGCTAGAAAGCACGTAAGTTTTAAAAAAAAGTGTTCAAAGAGCAAATTAGAGTTCAAAATTTGAACGTGAAAACATGCAAGGTGAACATTAGAGCAACAGCGTCCTCAATCCTTCTGAAAAGCTTGGACAATTTTTGAAAAGTTGCACTTTAATTACACTTGACTTCAAACAGATTTTAACCAGTTTCACACACTGAAGAAGAGTATAAGATGCAAAGAAAGTGAGTCGAAGAAAAATTCACTGCCTGTTTCCTTTGAACGTTTAAGTTACCTACCATATGGGTTATGGTTGCTTCACTTCACCTTTCGTGCCCCTCTCTACCCAGGTGTAAATGAGTACATTGTACATGAGAGAGTAGAGATGGTAATTGTGTCTAGCCGTTTGTGCCTGAAATTGCAGCGTCGGCCTTCACGTTCCCTAGAAACCTGAGATCATTTCGGGAATGTTCAGCTGTGAACCCGATGACCAGGGATACTGAAAGTATATATGCCCACCTTTGATGAGTGGCAGATGCTGTTAGACACTGTGTGCCTTGTCAAAGCTGCATATTGCTATTCATATTATTTCTGGCGCTCCTAACTTCCCAGGTGCTCATCTTCGAGTGTTTTGTTTCGCCATTCCCAAGTTTTCTAGTCTTCTTAGCAAGGTGACATTTATATAACGGGTTTTGCCCTTACCCAAAGTATATTAATAAGCACTGTGTGCTCAGTGCTTGTCCCAGAGCTTGCGAAAAAAACCTCACAAGCTTACTCGGATGGGACACTGAGCACACGGTGCTTATACGTCGGGTAAGGGCAAAACCCGCTATATCAATTAACATCTCCCCAACACAAAAATACATCCTGAAAACCAGGTGACATTGCTCAAGGTAACAAGACATCCTGAGCGAAGGAAATCAACCACATTCACCTCGAAACAGGAAATTACAGACAATATTCCGGACTTTGCCTTTGTCCACATGTTCCAATCAAACCACAAACGATGCCCTTTTGTATATAGTGAAGCGTCAACACTTTGCAATTTATTTTGTCTTGGACAAATAAATCATACTTTTATGGGTGTGTGCGGGAGGCTGCATATTTGCCCAACACTGAGCGACAGATGTATACAGGATTCTGTTTCCTCTACTTATTAATTTAAAGATATCTTCGAGCTTTGTACAAACACAGGGAAAGTTATGTCGATGGAATACTTGGCGTTGCTAGGAATCGGACAAAATGAACGCTAAAAATATGCTGCAGTTGACGAGTATTTGCATTCAAGCTGAATTTGTTACGCAGGAATTGTTTGCAGTGTTTTTTCATGTCATTCTCTCTCCTTTAAAATTAACTTTCCAGTCTGCTTTGCCAGACTGTTTGGTGTTCCATGCCTCGCTTCCATTTTATGAAAGATACTGACTGAAACATTTTAATAGAAAGCACCACGAATCTTTAATTATTCACTTGCACAAATGACAACATTTTCCTTTGAAGTTTTATTTCAGTACTTTCATTTTTATTCTCCAGTGCCTCCCAAACTGAAGTTAACCTCGATTCCAATTCAATATCGCTATCTTGCGAATAAGGCCATCAGGGCGCCTCCTTTTTTTCCATGCTGCATTCTACATGAGGACCCGCATCTCAGTTCCACGTGAACAAGAAATGAATTTTGTGCATGGTCTTAACTTGACGAGGTCCCCTTTGGCCAGAAAGCCATTTCTTCTTCTCCTTCCTTCCTTTCCCCCTAGCACTGCAGATTCATTGTTCAGGCTGTTGAGAATAACCTATTAAATAACTTCTCTGAACAATCACAATTGACTAATCTGAGGACTTTCATTGCAGCAGTTCCGCACTCAGGCCGGATTAATATACGAATGGAAACAGGCTGCCGTAAATGAGGCATCCCAAAACGAGCATGGAGACGGATTTTGTCTTCCGCTTAACTGTGATTTTATGATACACTTTTCAACTCCAAATGTAACTTCTGTGATGGCAAAGGACACTATCATATACAGGTACTTAGTAAAATCACAGTAAAGTTTAATGAGATTTTTTTTTCATACGAATGGACCGGCAAATGGAACACTGATTTTTTTTGATGACGTGCACGGTCAAATTAGTACACTCACCTCCGTATACATAACAGCCGACCCAATGAGGAAGACGTACAGCAAACCGGGGCTGGCAGCTTTGAATACCTGCACGTTGAAATAAACAGAACGTTTTTATGCAGAGGTTTTATCATCAGTATCCAAGACCAACCTTTATGGTATTTTTGAAGCTTTTAAATTTAAAAATCAAAATTAATTGGCTGCATCCAGTACTTAATATGTTTCAAGCAATACAACAAAGAGAAGTCTGGTGTCTGGTTCTTTAACATAACGAGCGCGAATGAAATGTCATTACCGTCGCTTGTGTACATTGGCTTATTAATTACAGAGGGCAAACGAAATGTGACACGTCAGACTTCGACTAAATTTGCTCCGATGAAGAGCAAATATATTTGCAGTGACCAAACAAGGCTTCGAGCTTAGAGAATGGAATGTAAAAAAAAAGATCATGCTGTGGCACACTTCATGAATGATACGAAGTCTTTTCGTTGATTCTTTGTTCCCTCAACATGCGCGCGCATGTGTTTTATTTTAATTAACATACAAATACGTTACATCATTCGTCAATATCCGCGCAAGTAGTAGGCCTACTGACTGGAATCAAAACCATCCTCACAAATCCCTAGATATATCGGCTTTCGGCTAATACACATGAACATGTGATCCAGCAATTTAGGCCAAGCAGGACTTCCGATTACGCCAGTTTGTCCATATTAACACGGCACAGAGGCAAGACCTTTTAGTTTGATTTGATGGAGGGAGCAATAACTAAGCTTTAGAATAAACGTTGGCCCTCAATAGACACGAAATTAGATAATATAGTTTAAAATCGTGAACCATGAGCCTCCCGATACCCTCCATAATTTTGAAATGGAAATAGACACAAATCACAATCTTTGTGGACGCCGTGCCTAAGGACAATGAATACAGAAGAATGAATCTCGATAGAATTTTCGCAAGATGAAATGTTTTGATTCTTTTGTCAGACAGGTCATGCAGGCGAAGATTACCTAAGCTTAAGCAGCAAGCTTCCACAAAGCATATCCCCCCTCCCATTTAACCTCACCCCTTAGAAAGGTCATGGAAGGTTACATATAGAAATTTCCATTTTTTCGCCCCTCCCCAAAACAGTTTGGTCTGATGAAAATCTGGTCCTGGATACGCCAATGAATATGGAAAGCTAGTTGTTATTCTACGGGCCTCGAGCTGGACCAAGAGTGGACGCAATTTAGCGACGGACTATGAAGCGTAAACACTGCAGTCGCATCACTACCAACAAAATAAACACGCCCGACCAACATTATTCTTTTCAACCAATGAGGGATGCTTCTGCTCAGAGCTTATAGTGTCTGTCTGCAAGGTGGGTGTAGTGGCAGGTCAAATGACGAATGCAGTGTCTCATAATTACTTATAATATATTAGGTCAAAGTAGAGCAAATGTGAAGAACATGTTGTAGTTCAAAACTAATTATTAATTAACTAATGATGTCCTCTTTCTTATGACACCAAGAAATCTAATTTACCGTCACAGATGACTGAGCACAAAGCAGTTCAATCAACCATGTCAGAACCAGTTACTGGTCTTGCACCAGACTCACTGCAGCTAACTGCAACAATTCCTAGCCCATTTCTCCTGGCAGACACATGCGGGTCGCAGACAGCCCTGATGTTCTTCGTCAGCCTGAGCAACCCTTGTTGAGATTCAAGCTTGTCCCCTCCCTTTGGTACTTTGGGATGTTTTCCCAAATTGTCGACTTGGCGGGAATGGCACGGTCAGGAAAACGCTGACCAAATGCATCTGCTGCTTGCTGGAGGCTTCCAGTCCTCAGCCACTTTGTTACCACAAACACACGCTGATCAGTTGTAAGCTGCATTTTACTGGTCTGAGAAAATGAACAACCTTTCCAATTTTTAAAGAGTGTGCAATGAAATAACCTGCTGAGGATTGCATAATTTAGAGTCCTAACAATAGCCCTGTACTGGGCAGACAACGTTCTTTACCAGAACAACTATCTGGTGCAAGACCAGCTCTGACATGCTTGATTGAACTGCTTCGTGCTTAGTCGTCTGTCACAGTAAATTGGATTTCTTGGTGTATAAGAAAGAGGACGTCATTAGTTAATAAATGGTACTTGCCAATTTTCAAACATATTCAGCCATGTCCAAGAAATGATGAAATTAATCTCGTTTTTTTAATAACACACTGTATAGGTACCGGTAGCTAGCTGCGGTTTAACGTGTGCGATAAGCCTTGCAAATTTGGATACTGAATATTTAAATTTTTGTCAGGCCGTTAGCAATGGTTTAGCACGTTTCAACAGGAGAAGCGAACAAAATGCAAATACATATCCTTGGTTAGCCCCTGTCGATCACAGTGTACTATTATGCTTTTCAATGATTATCATTAATAAATCATTTTGCTGCAATTTATTTCAAATCAATGATTATTGCGTTAAATTCTAGATAAGTGAACAATTTTCGGTAACAAAGAGAAAAATACCTTTACTGTACGTATTACTCCTGTTTGATTTGTGATTAGAGGGGGCATCGTTTAATTATTAACAAACACCCGGCAGAATTCTGCCGGATTCATTACCCGCTACCGGTCCGCGTAATTTATTTTCCTAGGAGGGTCAGGGGCAATTATCATATGAGCGTGGTTAACTACAAGCTCGATCAATTTAATGGACACTTAGAGAAACTAAGGCTAGAGGGTAAATTTCGGGCTTTACTTTCCTATCGTGAAGACATCCACTTACCAATTAATCCCCCGAAAAACTTCAAACATGTAGACTGGAACCCTTGCTTTGCCGCTAATAAGTTAAGCGCTCTTCTAACCACGGACCATTTACCCAGGGATGTGCAACCGCGAGCGGCCCAATGAAAACACATGTGCGACCTTGGTTCCCTGCGTGTTATGGATTGCTATTACCCCTGCAGGCGCTCTCGTCTTTCTAGAAAAAAATCGCAACCACATGACACGAGTTGCAGCATGCAGCATGTAGGCCTACAGTGCAGGCGTGCTTATGCCAAGACGACGCGCCGACGCAGTGCTTAAATCTATTCGTTTTGACGAATAAATCTTCTTCATTTATCGATTTCAGGGGAAAACGAAGCTTTAGTGAGGCAAAATTCCCCAATTTTGTGGTACACTTGTCTCAGAATGTATAGGGTGAAATATCTTGAGCAGCATATTTTTTAGAAAGGGTGTACTCTGACTTAAACTATTACAAGAAAACAAAGTGGTGGACAGGAATATGTTTTATTATTAGAGAAAGTGTTATATAATCCAACTTAATTTCTGCTTTGATATTGTGCCAGCCGTAACACGCACTGAACGAACCATCTCTGAGCTTAAGTTGCACATCCCTGGGTAAATGGTCCGTGTTCTAACTGAGCTACCTGCTGCAACTGACCAAGAAAGCAATTTTGTTGTATGTTATCTTCAAAAGTGTGCCCACCGCAATTATGATAATTGCCCCCAGCCTTCCTACGAAAAACGCTTCCACAACGGTTCAGATACGCCCATTTTATTATGATTACCCTAACCCTCCCAAGAAAACAAGTTACGGTACCGGTCCCTACTTTCGGAGGACGTCTGTAAGACGTCTGGAGACTCCGTACGGGACCAGAACCATGTAGTCCATACGTACCGCCCACGGATCTCTGTACACGGGATAGGCAGCTCCGCTCTGCGAATTGAAGCGATGAGCGGCCATCTTACTTCTTAGGCTATTCAACACAATTGCATTTTCCAAATCACCGGCTTTACCGCCGTGCATGAATGCACTTTAATTAATGAATGGACTGAAGCTGGAGGCCATTGTATTGAATATCATAAGATGGCTGCGCGGTCACTTCAATTCACACAGGCAGTTAAGACTGAGCTGCCTCTCCAGTCTATAGAGATCATGTGGTACCGCCGCTATCTATAGACTGGCCCCCTTACTAAAAGCGTTTTTGGCTTGTAGATGTACAAAGGACATAAGACAACCTCGTTTGTCTGGTTCACAGATGTAAATGCATAATACAGAAACGACGTCATCTGAAAAAGAGTGCCTGACTAAATGCATGGGGGGCCAAGAGGGCCTTTACTGTACATATTACTCTACCATACCCGCCTAAAGCAGGATTTCAGTCGATCAAACAAGTTTGGCAGCTTTTGAACCAAATACAAAAACTTTTGTTTTGCCGCGTGGGTCTTCGGTGACGCGTACGCTGACCAGAGACCGCTTCTTTCTGCTCCCTCAAGATGTGGATGCTAAAATATGTTTAATTTTTTAAACTGGCCTTAAGCTGAAGGTAATTTCAACGATCTGCGTTCGACATGGTGTAACGTATGGAAACGACAGCTTATTCGGCAACCCATTTTCGATATCCTTCCGATACTCCTTTCTAATTACTCTAAGACATGTCGATAACAGTATTTTTGAACAAAAATAGGCTTTCAGCCCATGATTTAAAAATTTCCCAATTCAGTAGAAGATGTAAAAGGTTATATCAGTGTAGGAAATCCACTTAAAGTTTACTAAAATTGTTGAAAAACATGCACTCACTCCAACTGAGTCCAAACTCTACAGTCTGCAGTTCCCAAGGAATTGTTATATTGCGAATTATCAATTTCGCTTGAAATCAAATCAGTGCTCTCGACCGCCCATACCGATGTATTTAGGGGCGCCTCTTTTTATACCGTGCCTAGTGCACATTGGTACGAGAATCCGCAGTCTTGGAAAATTGTGGCGATAGTGGCAGACCAAGGGCGAACCGTGCGACTCTAACGAAATGGCTTTTTAGAGTCTTTCCATCTTTGTGTGCTAAATTTGCGGAATTAGGATGTCACATATTACGTCTGTGTATCAATAGACGGATACTACAAGGCGCCAAAAGCTTTCCATGTATATGTACTTTTTATGGGTCCATTCCGTGTCAACATCCATTTGCACGTTTCAACCTCACCCCCCTTGTGCAATCTCGGTAAACACTCTCCGAAGCGTACGCACGCTCTTCACGCACGACCTCTGATTGAAAAGAGGGGCCATGTGGATTGAGTGAAATTTCCTGACTCTAATAGGTCAAGATTTCATTTGGGTTTCCAATGGAAGGGGCTTCTTTGAAAACCATTTCAACCTAGAGTAATAGCTGCACGGTAACGAAAGGACATCTTTTGCCACGATTATTGCGTTTCCGTAAAAGGGACGCCATCGTTATGTCACTGTTGGTCGTTGGCAACTTATCGGCGATGCCTTCTGTGTATCTCTTTGGGTCTTTCTGCGTCTCTTTTTTCGATGAGGGGAATGGGCTTTGGAATTGCATACATAAAAGGAAGATTTTGTTATTATGGTTTCCATCCTAATGCTTGTCATTGCTTAGCTTATCCAGCCTAATATAAGAAGTTCACAGCTTCGTCATGAAAGGTAATAACATATTTGCTTTCCCGCGAGAGAATATTGAGACCCCCCCAGTTCTACCATTTCGAAATGGCGAACAAAACTTTCAATCCTCATAAAAAACACTCGTCACAAAAATCTGTGATCGTCCTTGTGCCTGAAATGTTATCACTATTAAAACGGTGCATGTGCAGGTTTTCATGAAGTGCATGTAGATCGAGAGTACACTGCGCAGCAACGTAACACAATAAGCTATTTGCAAGTCAAATTTGAATAAAATGTGGTACACTGAGTTCTTTAAATTCACATGAACATAACAACTTGAATTTTCCATACTAAAACCACTGTTGCTATACCTCGTGATTGGGGGCAAGCTTTTGCTTAGTTACAAAAGAGACGCCTTGCAACAATACACTGTTCTCAATGGATAAGAACGGCACAAAGGAACGTGTCTATTCCAGAGATGGTGGTCGCTATGCAAAGGCTTGCCCCGAATCACAGGGTATAGTAACAGTGTCTTTAGTCTGGGGAAATCAAATTGTTACGTTTCTATGCTGTCAGATAACACAGTGTACCAGATTTTATTCAAATTTAACTCACAAGTGGCTTTTTGTCGCACAAAGCTCACGTAGAGTATGGCGCAAAGTTAAGGCGCCTTTTCATATCACATTAGATGCGTTTTCAGTGCCCCTCCTGTCCGCATGTGTCAGTTGTGGAGAGCGTTCATTCAAATTGAACCAGAATGAAACGCGGAAAACATGGTTATGGGACGGACCAAAAATGTACATAATGGAAGGCGACCTTCATCCTAGTTTCGCGAAATCAGCTGTAGGGGCTGAGTACAGATTCCGCTGGCCCCAAGTGAAAAATGCCAGACCAGGTCGAGATTGGATTAGACGCAGTGTCCCACCTTGTTGTCTCGATTGACCCAGGTGTAAATAATGAGCACCAGCAACACCAGGACACAGGCGCCTGTCAGAGCCAGAACGACGGTGGATAGCACGGCAGAAGGCTCCAGGAAACACGGAGTAGCATCCACGCATTCGTCACACTCTTTCATACATTTCAGACAGTTGAAGTCACTGGAAAAGCAAAAAAGGTTACAGCTATACACTGTGAAATCCTATACAAATCAGTGAAAGACCATCTAGACAGTTTGACTTGCATAAAACAGAACACTTCTAAAAAAACAGTGGTGTTAAAGGGGGTGGGAGAATGAGGGCTTGGCCATCCCACTCGATGCCTTTGGCTTCCTGTCCCCCCCGCTCAAAAATCAGATCAGGAAAATCTGTGTTGAAAGTTCGTCTTGTCCTTCCAGAAAATAAGGCCCCAAGTGCCCCCTGCAAAATGTACCCTATAGTTGCACCAATGAAAAAAGAGATAAAAATAAATGGAGGAAAGCCAGAAACGAATTTTCTTCGGAAAAAGGGGATTGAAACTGAAAATGGCACGTTAGTGTTAACCTGCAGACATGCGCTCAACTAGGTGTCGGTATCAATTAGATTAATCAGCTGACTTCACACATTATAACGGTACGTGGCTGTACTCTCACATACAGGTCCTAGCGCAATCAATGCCTCTAAAAATCCAGTTCGTAAATGTAACATCTTTGTGACTTGACCTTTAAAGATCTGGGTTATTTTGGCCCATCTCACAGCCGGGGGAGGGGCCAAAGAACTCGGCTGTGCCTGGCTCGATTTTTTTTTTAAACTTTGCATCAAAAAGACGCTCCTTATCATTACAAACGTGAAGTTTGAACTCAATCAGAGTTTTTGTATTGAGGCCTCCTTTTATTTTCTGCTAAAATTTCGCGGTTATCTAATCTTATCCTCGCCGAGCGGAACGAAAGAGGGCGTATTTTGGGTACTCACCGTATTGGCGTGCCATGAGGCGCGCAAGTATATGCGCGTTTGACGCCGAGCACGCTGAGTATGCGTAACGAATTATTTTGGCACGTATGGTCTTTTCGTACACGCAGAACGCGTGCAAGAACCCGCTTGTAACCACCTGTCTTTCTTTTCGATTGGGGGTGCATTTCAGCTCGGGACGGATAGTACAGGTGACAGTGAAGCGACAACAAACGCGATACAGACCGAAGTGTTAGATTTAACGGGAGCTGATGAAATGGTAACCACAACGCCGTGTATACCGATTCCAATACATGTCACAACCCTCCCCTAAATTTCGAAGAGACCTTCCGGTCATAGCCACAGCTTGGTCCTCAGAAAAACCCTTGAAAACTGTTCCGTTGTGTCAAATGCATAAAGCATATCCGGCCCGAGCTGAAGACTACCCCCAATCGGCGAAAAAAGACAAGCGGTTACACACGGGTTTTTTGCACGTGTTCTGCGTGTATGCAAAGACCATCTGGTTCGTAGGTGACTTCGTCACGAAGGCAGACGCGCCAGGATTTGCAGGCTCCCATTGGACGATCGCAGAAGTTGCGCGTTAACTTCCGGTTCCATGGTTCCACATAAATGGTGATCAATGCATGTGACTCTATGTGCAGTGCATGAGCAGTGGGCGTGGTTTAAACTGAAGTGACGTCACACTTACGAACCGGATACATGCCAAAATAAATTAGTTACGCGTACTCAGCGTGCTCTGCGTCAAATGCGCATATACTTGCGCGCCTCATGGCACGCCTATGCGGTGATTACCAAAATGAAAAGAAAAGAAAAGAGTACAAAAGAAAACAAAAGAAAAGAAAACAAAAGAAGAGAAACCAAACCAACAAACACGCCCTTTTTTGTTCCACTTGGAGCGGAAAGGCACATTTTACTGTACACGTAGGTAGGCCTACTCTGTTTACAGCCGCCGTATAATTTGTTTCCTCTCAGCGGCTCACTCCAATTCACCATCCTTACAGACGAGTTGAGAGGACCAACATCTAAATGATGTATAGGGACACCTGCATGCGTTCCATCAGGCAAAGAAAATTAATTTCTCGGTAACAGTGCCTCTGCCGTACATCGTTCTCTTTACCCCAGACTTCCTGACGGTGAACTGCATGATTGCAGACCGCAGCATTAATTGCTCGGGCAATTGGCATCCATTTTGCAATCCAATTTAATTGGAGCATGTGCAAAAGGAGGGACGAGTAACAATAATGATCTTTCATGTGGGACAATTCAGGGGTGGGTGGAACCACAGGTTTCAGGATGAGTAGGAACTCTGTAGGTTCGTGTAAAATATACTTGTGTATTTAGGAAGACTTCTGCAAAATGGAAGATTGTCAACATTTTTGCAAGAGATCGATGATCTTTTTCGAGTTAGACTTCACGTAGAGTGACTCATTCCCGAGCTTCTCGTATGAAACTCTTCACTTCCAGCAAGCACACCATATCTGTCGGGTGGCTACAACACCATGTCAATAAAAGGGTCCTGCCAACGCGAACAGCACTCCTTTAAGTTGGAATACACGTATTTATAAAACAAACTTTAACGCAACAGACTTGAGCATGGAATTATGTAACCTGATCTTCATATGAACCGATGATCTTTTTCCAACAGAAAACTCAAGCTGAAAAAAAACCACAAAGTGGAAAAATCCATCAAGGACATCCTCCATACTTGTTCTTTCCCGTCCCATCTACTTCACGCAAGCTAGCTCAACCGACCCCTTTTCACTTCTGTACCCACGACACAACGTCACACTGCTCAAGCGGCATCTTAACTCTAATGCCTGTTATAATGTATTACTGACATGCCTCCTGCAGTGGTATTTTGTTGTAACAAGCTTCGTATATACACGAGAGTTGGTAGTCCGGTCAGGTGCTGCAGTGACTTCTGCAGAAACGCCATTAGCTTCTTGAATGCCGTGCCCTGCAGCCTTATATTATACACGATGCCCATCCCGAGTTCTCCGAACACAGTCATCATTAGTCGCATACGCACTTTGCGCGCGGTGCTTCAGCCTAAGGGGGCATTGTTGCTAGGGAAAAGGACAATACTTCAGGCACAGAGTCCATACACTTTGAACCCACTTAAGGCTTTTGTCAACAACGTGCATTTTCCAGGGGTCAGTGATTGTTTCAAGTTAATTAGGGTTCTTTCACGAACTGGTATCTTAAACTGAAAGCGAGGCAACTTTTGGGAACTTGTGGTTAGAATTGGAAGCAATAAATAATATTTCTGCACAAATTAATTGCTGTCTGATGAATTTCTGTTTCAGATTGAGAAGCCTAATTGTTTCAGTCACATTAAACAAACTGAAAGGGAGCTTGAGACGCAGTCAACAATTAGCACAATTTGCAAAATTGCTCCCTCGTCAACAGAGTGTCTGAGAGTAAATAAATGCAGGTAAATCAGTGAGGCAAAGACGTTAAGGTTGGGACTGCCTCGTTCTACAAGCGTCCTTTCGAAGGCTACATAGAGCCTGAAAGTAAAAGGTCACGCAGCAAGCTTCCGGAACCCTCACGCGGTCCTCCTGTGGGGATTTTACGTTGGGCCGTTCTATTACGTTCGGTAATTTTTAGAGAATAATTCGTAACTAAAACCACCCCATGAAACACTCAT